TACCTATAAACACAGAAAGACGCACACACACAAACTAAACATCCATGCCCTGAATGGGATTCGAACCCAGGATCCCGGTTTCCAAGCGAGCGAAGACAGTACATGCCTTAGACTGCTCCGCTACCGTGACCGGCAAATATTCTATTACTGTACAGGTAAAAGTGAAGTTGTTTCTGTGTTTAATTAATTAAGCATCACGCCATGAAAACGTATAGGTTAGTGGAGGTATAGCTCCACCATTCTTGATCTCGGCCCTAGATGGAGGCAAGTGAACAGCTTCGCGTCTCGGTCACTTTACCCAGGGGGAAATCGCCCCCGGTACCCATTGGATAGGCAGCTGGGTGTGCCCTAGATTCGGTCTGGGCGCTGTGGAGACGAGAAGAATCTTTCCTCTACCGCGACTATACAGTAAAATTTCCAAACAATTTAGTATCGGTGTGGAGAGGCTGTAAAGCCATTTAGCTTTTGGTTGTCACGTATAGCCTGAAAGGAACCAACAACAATTTGCAGAATTACACTTTTTGCCGGAAGAAAGGAATGGAGTTGTTGCTTAAATTTATATATTATTTTAAGTTCTTGCAATATCAAAAAATTTTGAGAAATTCGAGATATTCTGACCAAAATTCTGTATGTATTCTGATCTTACTTGAAAAGCGTAATTCCGACGCAAATATCGAGCAGGTGTTACACCTGCATACGGTATACAACATATAGGTCTATTCAGTGAAATCTTAAGTAATTGGTACAAAACATTTCTGGTCTCTTTCCGACAAATTATTATAATGAAAACCTTACAAATATTCATCATTAAATACTGAATTTATTTTAAGGGAGTTTAATATTTTAGGGTCTGTTTTCTGCAGGTTAATTTACGATGCTGTCAGCATCTAGAATGCTGCCGAATTTTCTTATTATTATTACGGCTGGAATTAAGATGGACAGCCAAATTAGCATGTAGAGACATAAGTGTAAAGATTAATATATGCAAATGAAACGTGAACAATGAAAGAGTCCATCCCAATCAGATACGTCTGCAGAAATTAAGTTGTTTCTTAGATCTGGTTAAAACAGAATTAGATTCTTCAGCTCACGAGGCAGGACACAGAACTTACAGCGGGCACCGAACACAATGGTCGGTTCTAGACTACTGCCACAGAGCAAATTACATCAGAAGATCTAGATGAAATTGGTAGGAACATTTTACATGTCTAAGTTAACGACCTTGTATTGAAGGTTGATCATATTTTAAACAAAATCCTCAGTCTACTCATCTAACAATCAAAAACTTATTTTCGTAATGATTTTTGTTGTTGTTTCATTCTCATTTAACTCACAGTCTGACAAGTGCTGTCTTTTCATAGACTTTGATCTTTAAATTTCTGCATGTAATTAGTTTCCCTCCGAGCTGCATTTCGAAACATTTTAATTTCTTTTAGATTACTGTACCATATTAAGGAAAGACCGTAAATCATTAAGTTATGCATATGAGACAATGATGTATAAGGTAAAGTTGTCCCTGTGCTTAAGTAATTAAGCTCTACACCATGAAAAGGTGGAAGGAATTGGATTTGTAGATCCATGTATTCTTGACCTCGATACAAAGCTGAGGATAATGGTCAGCTTCACGCCCCTGCCGCTTTATCCCTGGGGAAATCGCCGCCTGTACCCATTGGGTAGGAGAGTGGGTGGACCCCGGAACCTCTCTGGGTGACGTGGAGGGGAGAAAATTTCTCTCTAATCAGCTTTTGAATTCCGACTCCTCGGCCATCCAATTATTGTTTTATATTATTATTATTATTATTATTATTATTATTATTATCATCATCATCATCATCTCTTGTCAC